AAAATCTTCGGATCACTTCTTGCACAACGTAGAGTGTTCGGTTGGATCTTAACAGGTTCCGTTCCCTCCGAAGAAGCGAAAATAAATGGCAAAAGTGAGAGTCAAAATTCAACAATAACGCAACAACAAACACAAAGCCATTTTTGTAGTCCAAATTATACTAATTTCATATTAACACAATAGGAACAACAATCGCCCAATCAACAGACTATGCTGCAACAGCAGTCGAAAAGACATCACCCACAATTATCACCACATCATMCAACAACGCCCCAACAACAAATGCATCAACCATATCAAAAGCAGCACCAGCACCAGTTGCTRGGCGATCCGTTTTCTGCAATGTTAACGGTGACACAAGATGCACCAGCTAGTTTCAAGTCAAGACTACAACAACAACAGATTTCACAATTGGAGTCGCAGCCACTGCCGACGTCAACGCCTACTCAGATCCTAACACAGACGCAGACAGCGATTMAGTCACAGCCGCAGCAACAGCCATTACCACAAYAGTATCAACAACAACARCGGCAGCAGTCAACGCAGCGTGAAGCACAGCTGCCGATAACRCAGCCGTCTATGTCTCCAGCGCACATTTCGTCACCCMTGGCRTCCAGCCCAACGGTGACAGCGCAATAAYAACAACTTCAGCATCAACCGCTGCAAATCCAGCAACATCAGCTGCATCAGCCACCACAACAGTCCTCAACACCGACATCAACACCCTCACATCATTTGGCTAACATTCTGAACGAAATAGCCACCTCGAACGGCTCTTCCACATTGGCCATGGTGGCTAACGACAGCAACAATAGCAGCAGCAACAGTTCGACCAACAGAATTGCCAACAATCAGCCCACTTCAGTGCATGACGGTAACACGCAAAGCTCTGACCAACGATGCTTCTCCCGCATACCACACGCCCAAGATCGAGCGTGCTGGTAACTTCCTTTCGGATTGGCGGCATGGCAACGATCGATTGAGACTCGATTCGTCTCAGCGACATTGTCCGGACCGAGACGAACTCCATTCGTTCCGCCGGCCACCCCATCCGAAGCGAAGGCGTGGAGGAGACACTCGTCGTCAAGCCGATGCACGCCGTATCATCAAGGACAGGCACGCAACACAACCTTGGCAACAAAGAATGGCGCTATCACCAACAGCCTTAATAAGTGTTCGACCTGTGACGAGGTTCGTAACAGTGCGGGCCATGATTAGCCCAGTCATTCCAGCCACTGTTATCCTCGCCTCCACGATTGCACGATTGCAACCAGGGTGGAGAAACAGAAATCTCCGTGAGTGCCCAAATATAACGTCGTCCGTTACCACCTACGCCTGTAAGGTCTCTAGAAGAACATTTATTTCAACAATTCCGCAACCTAAGACTGGCAGATAATGAATTCCACATATAATATCCGGTGTYGTATAATATCGGTACCATAAAGTACACTGGCTGCCAACACC